TTATACGCTTTTCCAATAATGTACCCTTTAGGATGGAAAGTAGGTTTTAGTTGAACATGGTTATTGTATTTTTTCTGCCTAAAACAAAGGCAAAATTTGAGTACAGCGAAAAGAAGAGACTATCAGATACTACTGCGGCTGAATAAACATTAGATTTATTTTTATTACATAGTTAAGGTTTTTGTACAGGTATTAAGGTTTTTTGAAGTAATAAGTTAATTGTAAATAGATTCTTTTTCTTTTCCTTTTCGTAATAAACTAGTTAGACACAGACTATATTTTACTTTTTCTCCTCGTCGTAATTTCCAGTTTCAGTTCAGTTTGTGCTACTTTTTACTAGTATTTTTTAGAGTTTTTTTAACTACTAAGCTGCTGTATTTTTCCCTCCTGCCATTTCATAACCGCCTATCTCGACTGCGTCTAATTTATTTTTCGTCCCTTTTATATTTTCTTGAAGTACTTTGAACGTAGATTAGAATAAACAAAAAAAAGAACTAAGGTAGATGGACACTTAACAAAGTTGTTGCAGTAAGACTGTTAAAAAGTAGGTGTAATAAATTGGAATTAATTTCATATTTTGGCTGAAATCTCGGCTGAGAATGGAAATTACAACATGAAATTGCGAGCACAAATAGAGAAAAACAATATGCAGTAACTGCAACATCATTTACTCAAGTTACTTAGACGCTTAGCATACTTTTAAGGAGTTCACCCGGATCATCTCCGGATGTCTCCGTATTACACAGCGGCATTGCTCCAAATCCGCTGGAATCTAGCCGTAATGAGCGAAATTTTGCTTTTAAAAAATTTCACACCGAATTGGGATCGAACGGCTCTGTATATGTAGGGCAGTCCTACTTTTTAACAGTTTTACTGCAATAACTTTGTTAAGTGTCCATCTACCTTAGTTCTCTTTTATGTTTATTCTAATCTAAATTGTAATAAATTGTTTTTCTCTATTTGTGCTTGCAATTTCGTGTTGTATTTTCCATTTTCAGCCGAGATTTTAGCCAAAATATAAAATTAATTTCAATTTATTACACCTACTTTTTAACAATCTTACTGCAACAACTTTGTTAAGTTATGGCAGTAGGAAAAAATACAGCAGCTTAGTAGTTGAGAAAACTCTAAAAAATACTAGTAGAAAGTAGCACATACTGAACTAGAACTGGAATTAATGACGAGGAGAAAAAGTAGAATATAGCCTATGTCTAATTAGTTTATTACGAAAAGAAAAAGAAGAAGACTGAAAGGATTGAAATTCCCACAGCTAGAAAGAAAATTAAAGTGAGTGGGGGGGGGTGGGG